CATACTAATTGTATTATACTATAATTCTTAGAATTAATTTTGACTGATTATAAATAACAATAAATTAATGTATGTACCTGCAGATATTGCTGTTATGAAATTGGTCAAACCTGATACTTAATTTATGTTAGGTATATAGCAGTTATATACATAAATATTTGTTATATATTGCAAGCAATATTTGTAATTATTTATTATTAACTATAAAACCCCCTTAATCTAATTTGATGATGACAAGGTTTGAGTATCAGCTTGTACATATTTGTGATATAAATACTGGCTTCAGCCATTTCGTACGACATTACTAGAAGTAACAATGAACATTAAAAATCAAGACTGAAACTGTACCTAAAAAGTAGTATTTTACTGTTTTCTTATTCTAATTTATATATTGTATGTTGATACTTTTCTGTAACATTTGTACAGACAGGATCAACTGAGGGACAACAAGCGAATAAGTACAAGATGAGTTTTCTTCATTATTTATACAGTTGTAGGAACAAAATATTTTTTTTTTGTCAATATTGTTTTGGATGAATTTTTGATCAGTAATTTTTTTTCTTTATCTCATTATCATTGCATTTGTACTATTTAAGATAATACTTTTTTATGAGAATATGTAGTTGTAACCGACAGTAGTCACCATCTCAAAATATCTTTCTCTTCAAAATATCTCTCAAAATACAAAAAAACAAACATGAAATATGTTATTGATTGTTAAAACAAAACAGTTAATGATTAAAAAAACAATTAAATTATATATTCTAAAATCTGAACTTGTGGATACTGTGCTGTATATGAATGTTAAATATAAAATTCTACTTTGGTCTGAGTAAGTATGAAGCTTCTTAAATTGAAACCACGTTAATAATATGTGAGCCAAAAAGGATCCAAATATTTCAATTATTAAAACAATAGCTTATATTAGAAGTACAGTTTATAAAAAGTATTCTACAAAGTCTGGCACGACGGCTGTTACAGTCTGTTCGAACTAAAGGTGTTTGATAGGTTCGTGTACATTCGAGCATACTAATCAAATCGTTCTGTCAACTATCAAGTGAAGGGCACTCTCTTCTCTCCCCGGATCACTAAAGGTGGAATACTCTCAAGACTCCGTCCTCTCCTCACTTCAATACTAGTTATTCATGAGCAGTCTCCCGGTACCATACATACACACACATCTAGCCCTATTCGCGGACGAGACCGCGGTGTACTTCAAGCGCGTTCTTCTACGTCGCCTCTCAACTTCAAACAGCGGCCAAAGCCTAGGGTTAATAGTTCTGATGATGGAACATAAATAATTCTGTATCCCATATCAGTATGTATGATCATCATGAGAATTTACATTTGGTGTCAGCGAAAGCTGGAAAAAAAGTCAGGTTAAGTTATAAAAAAACTTTGTTCTAGTTAAAGGAGATTGTCCACTCAGTATGGGGACTTTGGCCTGACGTGAACAGACATTTTATCATATTTTTAAACGGCTTTATTTAGCTCACCCGTTTGTTTTATTATTTATTCTTGGGTCAAATTTAGTAATTCAAATTTCACTCTCTTCCTGTCAAGCGATTAATCTGAAATTTTGTATACACTTTGGATTTTTATGACAATATAATTATGTTTATTCATTATCATTATAAATTAAGATGGCCGCCGATACAAAATGGCGGATAACGTAGGTTTTATCAATCCCATCAATATGGGTATCAAATGAAAGAGCTCAACAAGCAGAATACAATATACTATAAAAAATTTAAATCCAAGATGGCCGCTATTATCAAACGGCTGATAACAATTTTTTAAAGGAGTTGGACTGCAATAAACTAACGGGCAAGAAACCTTGCAATAATGAATTAAACAGAATGCGAAATAAAAACTAAAAACTAGAAAATAAAAATAGGTAAAGAAACTTTTAAGTTAAACGGTTTTACGTGAAACATACATTGCAATGTTTAAGATAAATGTACGAAAAACCAAAAAATAATAAAATAGATACAGTCGTGGGAATTATAAACATATGCTCAGACTAGACTACAATAAAAGCGTGGGGCACAGCAATTGTCTACAATCGAAAAATGATTTCAAACTTGGTTAGGTAGAGAGAGGAGTTTGGACAGTGGAGGTGATCGTTTAACGCGTGTTAGATAGGACCCCTTAAACCTACACCTGGGTCGCAAGTCCCAGACACTGTTGAAGCTCCTCTCCCTGCAACGCGATGGACCCGGCACCCGCACGGTGAATCCATTGAATGCTAAGAGATTTCGTCTCTTCTCTATGGGTAAATCAAGCACAGCCGGAGCATTCCATTGTAGCACAACAATGGTGTTGAGCAACAAATGTTGACACAGAGCCATCGGTGGAAATGAGAGAGGAGTAACCTATATCCAGTCTGGGGTAAATCTCTGAATTGAAGACACTACTTTAGAAAATAATAAACTAAGTTTAAAAGGGCAATGTCCATTTTTGGCCTAGCGTGAACAAGCTGCTATCAAAAAATCAACTTTATAAAAAAAAAAATTTTTAGCTAGCCATTCTATTGTTGTTTGAGTGTACATTTGTATTTTATTGAAAAAATATTTTTAAAGTATGTTCATTGATTTGCTTTATTGATCCACGTTTTGTGTTACCAGCAAGATCAATTAACGATTGCGTCAAATCGAATCATCTCGCAGTACTTAATACAACTATATACAAAAAAATAATAATATTTGTTTTTAATTATTTTCGTCATTTAAAACGTTTTATAAACTGAAATATGAAGAATGTTAAACGTAATCATATCTGTTTTCGATCGATTTTTTAATGATTTTTTTCTATTGCAACACTAATAAAACAAAAAAATACAAATTGACATTGATATGTCACAGACTGATTATTTACATTCGCTTTGTTTAACTACATTGAGTGTTGATTTATTGTTGATTTTTTTTCAACGACTGTTTATTCATTATGGACTCCGACCTATCTTTTTCCAGTGACCCCTGCACATCTACGGACCCCGAATTTCGCTCAAACGATGACCCTGGCTTTTGTATTATGGACTCCGATCAAGGCATAAACGATGACCAACACTCACGTAATTTGGACCCCGAAACTAGCTCCATCGCTAACCACGGCTTTAATATGGACATTGAAAAAAACCAAAGCGTGTCTCATGATAGTCTGCACACAGAAGAAGTGACTTCTTACCAATCCGTATCTCTGAGATGCATAAACTGTGGAACTGATTTGATAGAGCGAAGGCGACATAGTCTAGATCTTAATCAGGTTCAGTCTATTATAAGACAGTGGATAGCTCCTCGACGAGTTAGTGTCAATTCAATAATTATTTAAATTACTCGTTTTTTAATAGATATGTATTGTATATGCTACTCCTATAATGCAATATGAGATTTTATTGTTTTATATAATTATAATCCTTATATACTGTTGTATTATAATAAATGAAAAGATGTTTACTCCTAACACATTAGCTGACTTTGCTATCGATAATAATTTAAATAGAAAGCGGGCATATTTTCAACCTAAAAATGTAAACATGGACAGTTTCATATTTCCAAGAATAGAATATAATGATCTTATATTAATTGCATGTGGAACATACCAACTAAAATAAGCTTGTTCGTATTATGAGCACCACATAAGAGGCAATGGTTCGTATACTATAGAAATATGTAGAAATATTGCCAGCGACCTATTGGTTGACTAGCCAATTCCTTTGGCCAACTGCAGATTATTGGCATGGAAAAATACGAAAGCAGGCATGTAAGTCGAAAAATATATTTCATATATTATATGAAATTATCACCATGGTAAGGAAAAGCTATAAAAGAATATTATTGTAATTGCATGGTTGGCCGAAGGACAGTGGGTTGCTGCGCTCATATAATGACTATTTTATGGTTTTTAAGTTGGGCAAGGGTATCAGGAACACATTTCACCACCTGTCCAATTTCTTGAACACATATTAATAACATATGATGTCTCAGAATAAAAATAAATCATAAAAAATATTGTTTTATTTTGCTTTAAACTGTTTTTTCTCACATGACAAATATCTCTTTTTAAACATTTTGATACAAAATTAAGTACATATTCTCAATATTACTAGTTAGTGCTTTTAAACTAATTACAAAAATATGATAAAATGTCTGTTCACGTCAGGCCAAAGTCCCCATACTAAGTGGACAATTTCTTTTACCTTTTGATGTCTCAAATATACTAGAATTTATTTGATGAGAAATATTAATTTTTTCAGCTTATTTTGAATATATATCTAAAAATCAGCCTCATTTTCAATCGAAAAATCACCCGTCAAAATATCAGCTATTTTCAAAAATTTGGTGTGTTTTCTGTTCGTTGAAATCTCTATTTTCCAATGGTGAAGAAAAAAATAAAAGTTTCGTACTTACAGTACCATTTTTGGATAAAATAATCATATCTCTTTTAATGAAATGACACTCGACATCGTTTTGAAAATGCTCTTTCCAATATATTTTTAATAATTGTGTACTCTGGAAGTTCTTCAGATAATCCCTCTTTTAGGTAATTTACATAAAATTGACATTAAGCTGCTAAAACTAAAAGCTAAGGATAAAACTAAAGCTAAAGCAATAGACTGACTGGTGGCGCAGTAGAAGTGTTCTGGGCTCAAAACCTCTAATGCCTAACATATTTGGTTATTCAGTACAGACTAATTTTATTAACTTTTGACATAACATTTATCATTACATCATAAAGTTTACATTGCAGAGAATAGATGTCGCTAGTAGTATATTTATGTATTTCGATACAATTAACTAACACAGGATACTAATAATTATAAAATTGAATCAAATCTAGTATTATACATATTAATTAATGAAAAACCAAAAAGCCTATTTACTATTTTGAATGAAAACTCATGAACACGTTCAGTAAAATAAAATTTACGATACAAATAAATTAATTTATTTTACATTTATGTTACAATGTTTTGTAATCTTATATTTAGGATTGTTTACTTATTGTGGTCTTACAACTACTATTGGTAATCTGATGCACCACACAGATACAGCATTTTTATCCTCCACTCTGAATTCAATTGTCACTGGAATCTATATACAGAGGAAATTAAATTAGACGAAAATAATTAATTTTTATCATTAACTGACTTTTAATATCAAACTCACCGTCGGGAACCAAGGTTCTATGAACATTTTCAGAGAATATTCAACAATTTCTCCTTCCAAAATCGGACAATAGGAATTGTTTAGGAAATTACATGTGACTTCATTTGGACCTAAAGGATAATTGATGGGTATCGCCATCAAAGCTACCGCTCTCGTCTTCATATCGTGGAGCATATAAGCTGAAACAATTAATTAACATCAAAAGAAAACCACTTATTCTAGTTATCTATATATACAAAACAAAGTTGTGTTAGTTACACTATTTATAACTCAAGAACCGCTGTAGGGATATGGTTGAAAATTGGTGGAGAGATAGATTAGAACAAGGAGACGGACATAGGATATTTAATTCTGTTCCATCGAAAAACAAAAAAGAATCTTAATAAATTCCAATATATGGTTCTTTACAGCATTTATTGCGGAATATGGTTCGCCCGGTCAGCTATACATGTATTACTAATTCCGAAATTAAAGCGGACGATGTCGCTGACAAAAACAAGTCACTTATATAATGAAGATTCATTGATATACCCTTAACTAGTTTTATACTCACGAGCTTTAAATACCACTCGGATTTCAACATCTTGGTTTTGTGGTAGAGAGCATGGCAATTCTAAACAGCCCACCACGTGGGCATTGATTGGTAGTGACCCGTTGCTCGCCTGACCTGATGCAAAAATAATAATAAATATATCACTATATATACTAGTATATAAGTCTTTAGTATATAAGTTAATAAAGAGATTGTGTTGGTAACGAAGTAATAGCAGTAATAATATTCATATTAATTTCGTTTTTAATATTGGCTCAGTGATAATTAAAAATAGAGAACCAATAGTTGTATCATCATCATCATCAGCCTATCAGAGTCCACTGCTGAACAAAGGCTCTTCTCACATGGAGAAGGTTTGAGCATTAATCACCACGCTTGCTCAAGACGGGTTGGTGATTTCAAACTTATAATTTGAAACTATAAGTCCAGGTTTCCTCACGATGTTTTCCTTTACCTTCTGTCAGTGGTGTCTAAATACTCTTAAAAAGTACATATGACTCGGAAAATTACATTGGTACTTGCCAGGTTTTGAACCCGCGCCCTCATGCATGAGAGGCGGGCCTTTTAAACACTAGGCCACCACTGACTATGACTATCTACATCTACATATATATATAAAAATGGATTGCTATTCCTTAGTCTCGCTAAAACTCGAGAATGGCTGAACCGATTTGGCTAATTTTATTCTTGAAATACTCCTGGAAGTCCAGGGAAGGTTTAAAAGGTAAGAAAAATTGGAATAATTACCGGGAAAACCCTAAAAGCAGCCCTTTTCTATTTCCCATACAAACGTTTTTTTGACATTAGATTTGACAACTAATATGTCAATCATTCTGTTTGATTGAAACAGGAAAAACCTGATTCAGTCAGCTATACCTACATATATTACTCTTGACCAAACTAACGCGGACGAAGTCGCGGGCAAAAACTAGTACAATTATATATATCTTTCTTATTAAAAATTAGTTTCAAATCATATACTTGCATTGCGCAACTGGCGTTGATTGTCCGTGAGTAGTTTCCAGACAGAAGAACGCGAAACACAAAATCACAAACCGATACATTATAAATGAAAATAATTAAAAAACCATTATCTCTGATTTTAGACCATTTATATTTACACTATCTTATCACATGATAATAATTCCTAATGAGCTCGATTTGTGCTTACATTTAGTTTCCATCGTCACTATGAAAGACTTTTGACAGTTTTTTTTGCTTAATCTTCACAGATTAAGGTATTAGTGAATGAGAAACGAGAAACACATCGTACGTAGTGTGACGATGCTAACTTGTGGTAAGCGTATTGGACAGATTAGTCAGAAGTAATCTGATCAAATGACCGTTTAACTTCATACACCTGGCTAAATATCTGATAAGTCGATGTGTCAATTATAAATCTAATGTACATTTGATCATATTATCTCAGTTGCCTTGTAACCATTTTTTAATATGTATAGTCATTCAAAAAGTCAGTGGTGGCCTAATGGTTAAAGGGTCCGCCTCTCGTTGCCGAGGGCGCGGGTTCAAACCTGGCAAGTACCAATGTGATTTTTCAGAGTCATATGTACTTTCTGAGAGCATTTAAACACCACTGACATACGGTGAAGGAAAACATCGTGAGGAAACCTGGACTTATAGTTTCACAATTATAAGTTTGAAATCACCAACCCGTCTTGAGCAAGCGTGGTGATTAATGCTCAAACCTTCTCCACATGAGAAAGAGGCCTTGCTCAGCAGTGGGCGTTGATAGGCTGATGACGATGACAATAGTCATTCAAATTATCAAAATAATTCTCATTACCAAAATGCGTTTTTGTACGTCCAATGAGTGACAAACCATTCCCTATTCCCACCTTTTTCTGTCCTTTTATTCCTATTCCTCCCTATTCCTGAAAATACAAGGTTAGCAAAGCATCTCTGTAGCTGATGTCTATGGGTGACGTAAGTACAGCCCACCAAGCAGACCGTCTTTTCATTTGAAAGCTTTCACATAACATAAAAAAAAAGATATATAATATAATAAAAAACGAGTAGTATCCCAAAAAAATTCATATTATTACTGGGATAATTATAAATTATAAATGCATAGTTTTATTTTATACATAAACACACTTTCTATTTATTACTATGCATAAAAACATAAAGTCTTTTTATTAAATTTTCATTCTGTACATATCTATAACTTATATTATTTATAAATCAAATGTCCACAATCACTTTATACAATGTCATTACAAGTTGTTGCTGTTTGAAAAATTATCAACAGGTGTTTCTTTGATAATGTAAAGATAATATATCTTTTAGAATAAGATTTAATTCAGGTTAATATATTATTATAATAATTATTTTATTTAATAATAATATAAATTAATTACAATCGTTTTTTTTTGAATTAGAAATAAATAGACTAGTTCATTATTGATGTATCATTGTGTAATGTTTAAGTGTACGCACTTACTTTAGTTTAACTTTGTACGTACATACTCAAACTCAAAGAACTTTATTCAATATAGAAGCATTACACTTTCTTATTGATGGTCATTTGAGACACTACCACCGGTTCGGAAAAGAAAATATTCTGACCTGAGAAGAACCGGCGAAAGAAACTCAACGGTTTTTTTTTTTAAATATATATGTATAAATTTGTCTCGTATATTATATACACAATTTAATATGAGATGAAATAGCCAGGAGGCGATCGTTTCATTCCCAAGGTGTGCTATCGTTCATAAACTCATTAATTGTATAGTAACCTTCAACAAGTATCGTTAATATATTGGCTTCATATATACACTATGTATTTTCAGTGATTTATTTATTTTATGGGAATGGGGTTCAACATAGCAGACGGTCTACTTGATGGAGCCAGTACCGTCGCTCATGCACTTTTATTATGAAGTTGTGAAAAATCGACATCGATATCGTGTCGGCTAAAAAAGTTACAGAGGTCAAAAGGTCACGAAAATCAGTTCTTTGCAAATATTTCGCGACCTATCGCTCGGAGGTCGATAGAGATCATTATAGAAATTATTGCTCATAAAATTATCTACGAAAACGTTTCTTGCAGTTTTTCTGTAAACTTAACAGTTTTCGGATTAGAGAGCTGCGAAAACGAATAGAACGCACTCACATATGGTACTGTATACTACACTACGGTATAAACTCTTTTCACTTTTGCTTTTATTAATATTTGTAAGTGTCTTAATAATCCATTATTTTATATTTAGACGTTTCGAGAAAGATATTTTTATCGCAGAAACATTTAGTTTTTGCAGTGAGACATATTATATCCCATTCAAATAACATTTCAATGATTGAGGTTTTTAGTAAGACGTACTATGTCTCATGCGAACATTATCAAAATATGGTGCTGTTGGTTTTGGACTTAATTTATATTGTAAACTACATAGAAGACCTGGCGAACTTCGTATCGCCCTATAATCAAGAAATATCTAATACGTTTTTTTATTTATATTTTTGGAGTTTACCTGTAAGCCATAAATCTCCGTGTTTTGAAGTGCGACAGAATGATTGACATATTAGTTAGTTGTCAAATCTAATGTCAAAAAAACGTTTGTATGGGAAATAGAAGAGGGCTGTTTTTATGGTTTTCCCAGTAATGAATCAATTATTTTCAGCTTTTAAACCTTCCCTGAACCTCCACGAACATTTCAAGACTAAGATAAGATAAATCCGTTCAGCTGTTCTCGAGTTTTAGCGAGACTAAGGAACAGCAATCCATTTTTATATATAGAAGAAGAAGATATTCACAAAGTTTCTCTTAAATTTTATTATTTAAGCTGATTCCTTGAAATAGCTATAGCGGATCGATCGTTACTTTACACTTATGTACTATGATAGAAACGTTTACTGATGATAACGGTAGGACTATGTCCTGTAATTTCTGTATTAACAGGAATTGTTGGTAATTAAGAAATTAAGTATTATAATGCCAAAGAAATAGATCTGCAGTCATTAAAAAAAATACAGAAATAAATTTCGACAAAATTCAATCAATACGCTCAAAAAATAGTAATGTTGTGTTTGTGTTATCTTCTATATATGTATATAAAAATGGATTGCTGTTCCTTAGTCTCGCTGAAACTCGAGAGCGGCAGAACCGATTTGGCTAATTTTAGTCTTGAAATACTCCTGCAAGTCCAGGGAAGGTTTAAAAGGTGAGAAAAATTGGAATAATTGCCGGGAAAACCCTAAAAACAGCTCTTTTCTATTTCCCATACAAACGTTTTCTTTGACATTAGATTTGACAACTAACTAATATGTCAATCATTCTGTTTGATTGAAACAGGAAAAACCTGATTATTTATGGCCTCTAAGACGGAATAGAGTTCGCCTGGTCAGCTATACCTACATATATTACACTTGACCAAACTAACGCGGACGAAGTCGCGGGCAAAAACTAGTTAAATATAAATCTAATAAATGTATTGAGGAATTTCGATCATATTTTCGTTTTAATAGGTAAATAACTTCTCTTCTTCATATTATTAACAACAATTTTATCGATACTCTATGACAGTAACAAATTACCATAAAACGGAATATGGGACTATTTGTCCTAATCATTACCTTAGTCGTCATAATCATCAACAAATAATAGCTGATTGTACAAGCTACAAGAACCTTATCTTTATTAAAGTGTTTCAATATATTAGCTTAAGGGCCAGTGAACGGATACCTGTATGTATTTGACCAGACCTGGGCTTTTGTACGTTGAGACCCCTTCACCTACCGTACATGAGATGGGGACTCACTAAGCCCTAAGTGGTGGACGCGGCTAGTGCGCAGGTAGAACAGGACAGGTATCGATTTATGGCTATAAATGCATTTGACCACGTCTGCCGTTTTGATATTTGAAAATATATTATTATTATTAGTGGATTTTATTTGTTAGATTAATGGTATTCAAAGATTGATTTTAAAAATAAAAAAGTTAATTACTAAAAAGACGAAAATGCCAATTATTAACTATGGATGCTCGAAATGCTAATCTTTACGAAGAAATAATACCAGCCGGACAAAGTTAGTAAAATTGCCAAATAATTCAAAGGATGGGGATGTATTTGTTCCTAAGCAGATAATTAGTAATTGTTTACTTCTGATTGTTTCAAATAATGATGTAATTTTCTCAATGAATCATACCTTTACAGACGAAATATTTAATACATATAAAAAATTAGTATTTAACATCACTTTCTAATCGAACGAAAGAAGTTTTATCGCGTCTTCGCACCGACCATTTGAAACCATAACCGCTAGCTAATTAAAAAAATGTGCACGTTACTCAGATGTATTTTATTATGAGGGAGAACTCTTAACATTTATTAATAAAATCAAAAATAAAATTAAAACGACTTAAGTCCCCGTTGATGCTAAAATTTATAGGTATCCATATATTCACAAACAAGACATAATAATGCTTCAACAGAATATAATTCAGACTTCCGAATCCACGTACAGCTCTCCTATTTGGGTAATTCCTAAAAGGTGAGGCTTCAGGTAAAACTAAATGGCGCTTAGTCATAGATTTTCAAACTCAAACAACTTTATTCAATATAGAAGCATTACACTTTCTTATTGATGGTCATTTGAGACACTACCACCGGTTCGGAAAAGAAAAAACCCTGACCTGAGAAGAACCGGCGAAAGAAACTCAGCGGGCTTATTTTTTTTAATATATGTATATGTATAAATTTGTCTCATATATTATATACACAATTTAATATGAGATGAAATAGCCAGGAGGTGATCGTTTCATTCCCAAGGTGTGCTATCGATCATAAGCTCAACTCTTTTCGAAGAGTTAACGAAAACACTATTGACGATAAGTACCCCATGCCTAATATATCAGACATATTGGATAAATTAGGATATACTAAAACCGACATTACAACAATTCTGTACTATCCCTCCACCATGTAAGCCTTTCATATCTGTTCATTTGGACTTATTAACCATACGGAGCGAAAAGTTTTAATAATCGTCGATACATTTTCGAAATACGCGCAGTCGACAGTTGTATTATCTAAAAGACGGAACGGCAATAAGTATAGTTCAAGCAGTACTCAAATTCTGTACTCAACACGGTATATCTTATATTATATTTTAGTGACACAACGGTCCTGAATTCACAAAACAAGTATTTGCTAAACTTATAAGA